ACTGTATTTTTATACAAAAAGTTCTTTTATTGCGCAAGAATTTGTATTTTGCCAAAATACATGTTTTCTGTCCTAACTTATGACTCTGCACCAGAAAACTACGGTTGTCCCTCTGCATTCACAGACTTCAAGTCCATGGTCCCGCTCTTTGTGGGAGGGACAAGTGAGGAGGGATATAATGGTGGCACGTGCCATGGGTGCACATGCCATTATTTTCAATGGGGCTTGAATATTTGTGAGCTGCCATTTTTGTGGGGTGGTGGTTCCAGAATGGATTACCCAGAAATTGGGAGGGGCAACTGTACATGTATTTTTGCACAAGCAATTGCTCCCCCCCCCCAGCACTGCCAAAGTCCTGAAATATGAAGAATCCTGTGACTGGTCTCCTTTTCCTTGGCAGGGTGTCATGAATGTTGAGATACCTTTTTAAAATTGGGAATGCAAATATTAATAAGCATTCTTCACATCCCTATTCGCAGGGAGTTCCTTCTATACACTAGTACACAACCATCCACTGTCCAAAAATAGTGCACAACACAAATGCATACGACTAGCACACATATCTTAAACATCATAACAGATCAAGTATTTCCTGTTTCTATCATTACACTGAGATTGAATAGCTCTAAGAATGACACAGGGCTGCTGTGCAATATGGTTGCTTAGGAATGTGGAACCAAGAACAAAAATATCAATATAAGAGAATTACAAGGAAAAGCATCCTGTTTGCAAAGTGGATTTCTGCTGTCCCACAATCTGTACACACCAAGGATGTAATTCAACTGATTGCATTATTCCCAGGGTCACACAGTAGTGATAAGGGGAGAGAGACAAAATTTGTCAACTCTGCATATCTCACGTCTCCAGTGCCTTTTATCTTTCTCTAGGTATTTCCGTGGAGGGGAGAGCCAGCGTGGTGTAGTGGTTTGAACACTTAACAATGATTCTGGAGACCAGGGTTTGAATCCCTACTCAGCCATGGAATCCCACTGGGTGACCTTGGGCAAGTCACACTTTCTTAACCCCAGAGGAAGGCAAAGACAAACCAAACCCTCTCTGAACAAATCTTGCCAAGAAAGCTGCATGAAAGCTTCACCTTAGGGCAGGGGTAGGCAACCTTTCCCCTTTAAGGGCCGAGGGACTTCAGCTCCCAGAATCCCAGGAGCTATTGGCCAACATGGGACTATTGGCCAACATGGCTGAGGCTTCTGGGAGCTGAAGTCCCTCGGCCCTTAAAGGGGAAAGGTTGCCTACCCCTGCCTTAGGGTTACTTTAAGTTGGGAATATCTTGAGGGCACACAACAGCAACAACTTATTTCTTCCATTGCAGCTGTACTCACGCCCTTTCCCTTCCTGCTGCCTTCACCACTTTGACTGACACCAGCTTAGTGTACCAATGGTTTCTGCCCTTGTCTTCAAATTACACTAGGTGTCTTCCTGTCCAGATTGATTTAGCCCTAAAGCCAATTCTTTATCCCAACTAGAGTAGATCCATTGAATTCATGGGATTAACACAAGTGCCATCTTGCTATTCAGCAACTGAGTCAGTGGACATGGCCACATGAGACAAGGACATTCCTACACAATAATGCAGTAATTGTATCAGTTTTTAAAAATCATAAACTTGCTGGTTTCAGAGCAGCCATTATTGCATGTCTTTGAGATTGTGTAATTGAGGATGCTGTTGCCATTGCATTCACTTCCTGACTCCCCCTTAACCCCACCTCCTTGCCCTATGCTTTATGCCCTACCCAGTATGCCTCTTGGGCTATTTTATTTTGTTTTCAACCTTTTACATAATGTCACAAGTTAGGTTTTAAAAAGAAGAAAAGAAATAGATTTTTTGTAAAAAAAAAAAAGTAATTAGACTTTTTGGGAATAGTGAGGGGGAGATGGGAGAGGGGAAGGGAGAGCACTGGCACCATGTGGCTGTCAATATCCTAACAGCCCTGGCAGTGACATTTCACACAATTTGGAAGTCATTGACAGGTTTTCCCCATTAATGCAAAAGAACGCCCTAACTGCGCTTGGGGAATGTGGGCTACAGGGAAGGCATCATTGTACAATAAGTATTGCCAAAGCCGTTTTTTCCAGCTCTAATCACAGTTTAAAACCTACTTGTAGTAATCTCCTGGTTGTATTTGGGACTAACAATAGGATTTAGGCCTCAGTGATTTGGGACCCATCTGCATAGAGTTGAAAAGAGATATCACAAAAGAAACTGATCTTTCCTCTGGCCCTGCAAATATTTTCCATATTCAAAGAGAAAAGTGGTGAGCCAAGAAATCAGAAAGAAGCATCCAAAGACTGACATTGATCCAAAATGAGAGACACAAATGCATGCTCCTGAGATGCACATTCTTTCATGCATTCTGTATATCATTCTGTATTGGATCTGAAGAAGTAGATTGATATCCACAAAAGTTAATGCTAAAATAAAAATCAGTTCACCTTATTTTTTTTTCTTTTAATTTTTTTTTATTACACCATATATAATACAC